TTTGTATGCCATAGTTAGTGTTTTGAATTTTATCCGTTGGGCAACTGGGAGCTAGTGAAGGGATTAGCAGAGAGGGGTGGCAGATACAGAGCGGTTAGTGAGGTAGATGAGTCTGGCAGCAGCGTTCATGATAGACTGAAGGGGGGGATAGCCTGCGATGAGGTAGGCCAATGAGGAGGGAGTTACAATAGTCAAGGCGTCATATGACAAGGGAGTGAATAAGTTGCTTAGTGGTTTCCGGGGTTAGGAATGTGGTCGTATCTTGGAGATGTTGCGGAGTTGAAGTCTACATGATTTTGTCAGCGATTGGATCTGGGGCTGAAAGGACAGATGGGAGTCTAGGATTACACCTAGTACCCTGGCATGAGGGGATGGACTAATGATTGTGTTATCGATATTTATGGTGAAGTCAGTGGAGGTAGCACGGGCAGGGGGCGAATACTAGGACCTCAGTTTTGGAAAGGTTGAGTTTGAGAAAGTGGAGTGACATCCAAGCCGATATGTCACTTAGTAGGCTAGCGATGCGGGTGGAGACTGAAGGGGTGAGGGGTAGAAAGATAGATTTGCGTGTCATCAGCATAGAGATGGTAATTGAAGCCGTGGGAGTTTATCAAGTGACCATGGGAGGAGGTGTAGATGGAGAAGAGAAGGGGTCCAAGGACAGAACCTTGAGGGACCCCTGCAGAGAGAGGGAGTGAAGAGGAGGTGACAGCGTTATAGGTAACACTGAAGGAGCGCTGCGATAGATAGGAGGAGAACCAGGAGAGAGCGGAGTCTCTGAGGCCAAGAGAGTGCAGTTTTTTAAGGAGGAGGGGATGGTCAACAGTGTCAAAAGCCGCGGAGAGGTCGAGTAGTAGGAGTATTGAATAGTGATCGTTGGTTTTTGCAGTTAGTAGGTCATTAGAGAGTTTTAGTATGGCAGTTTCAGTGGAGTGTCGAGGGCGAAAGCCAGACTGTAAAGGGTCAAGAAGGTTGTTGTCGGCGAAGTGGGAGCTCAGGCGATTGTAGACTAAGCGTTCTAGGAGTTTAGAGGTAAATGGCAGCAGGGAGATGGGTCTTAGGTTGTTCAGGTTGGTGGGCTCTAGGGAGGGTTTTTTTTTAAGTATGGGAGTGATGTACGCGTGCTTTAGAGGGGAGGGAAGGCACCTGTAGAGAGGGAATTAATGAATGGATCTGAAAATGAAACAAAACAAACTTTTACAGCATGCCCATGTCTACAAGCATGCTCCCCCCCCCTTCCTGAATCACACCCGGCAATGTGAGTTTGAATATTAGTGGGTACCTTGCAAGGGGGGGGGAGGGAAAGTGATAAAGCTTCCCTGAGTTGAAAGGCACATTGTTTAAGAGCCTCTTCACCACCTCCAGGCCCCCCAAAATGATGTGTGTGTTTTGGGGGAGATTTATAGGAACCCTGAATTCTCTTTATAATATGGGGCCCCCAGTTATCCAGCCAGGGGAAAGATAGCATTGGCACCCCTTATTGCTAGTCCCCCCAAAAGTCAAATGTAACTAAACAAAAAAATGCAAGTGGTGTTATCCATCATCAATCATGTCATCAACTGATGTAAATCCTATGTCCTAATGAATCACTGCCTGACTATATTTGCTCACTGCCCCACAATGCTTTCCCATGACACTCCTGTTTTCTGTGATAATGTAAACATAGCACAAGGGATGCCTGATGATCATGGTAATTGTTTGTAGCATTGGCCATACAATACCAGATTAGTGATGTTAAAATGGATTGTATTACTTAAACAAAAACCTGAACCTGCAAGGTAAAATAACTAGAGGTGTTGTTCACTGGAACCCAAAGAAGGACTTCCTTGGAACATGTAGACACACAACATTTGGAGCATGTAGACACATGATATTTGGTGCCTAATGCAACATCCCCCTACTAAAATCACTTCTTTTATACAGAACTTTTTTTTGGTTTGCAAATCTTGATATGTGGTTTTAAGTGTAAGCGTGTAAGTAAGCATATATGATTTGACCATACACAGTATTTTCTAATAAAGGTAAAATTAGTTAACAGAAACTTTACAAGGAAGAACAACCACTTTGGCCCTGCCACCTACAGGCACAAAGTCTTTGTGCCTAAATATAAATTCAGCCTTGCTGAAACAGTTTTTACTGATTTACTTTTATTTCTTAAATGTGCTTTACACTATTAAAGTGCAATACATTTAGTTTTAACTTCCTCTATTTTAATTGAATACTAAAACTATGAGAAGCTTAAAGTGTATCTATATTCAGGACATTTCCTTTTACTCGTTCTTCTAAAGCACATCATGTGAAATTAAATATCTAAAAAATGAAGGGAAATATCACCTTAGACAGTTGTAATCAGAACAAGTTTCCCCATTGGAAGATTTCCCCTCACCTCCCATTTCAGTGACAAATGAAAAATTTAGGAAGATATCCCATCACTTTCTGACCCAGTGATAAAGGTCACCAGGAAAAATAGAAAGATGACTCTCTCCAGCAGGGACAGCGATAGGAATAGAAAATTAACAGGAATTTTAATCCTTTCCCTACTCTGTCCAAATTGTACACTTTAAATGCTTGTAAACATCATTATATTTTAGATTTATTTTTTACTACGTCTTTGTTAATACTTAAAAGTATTTTCTACCTAAAAATACTGAAATTAGTATTTTTCAGAAGTTCCTTAGAATTCACTTCACTCCTCTATGAGGTAAATAGTCAGAAATGTTTAAATGTTATAGATGTTGAATGCAATTCAGCATATAATCCAAATAAAAGAAAGATGTTATAAAGCTAAAGGAAAAATTCAAGCTTATTACAGATCTTTTTCACTTAAGCAGAACTTTTGGCATGGTGGAAAGAAATAATTTTGGCAGCAAATACATGTAATTTACTCCTTAAATAGGCCTCAAGCTGAATTTAGAATTATTAATGATGTGTTTGACAATGCTGCCCAAGTCCTTGTGTATGAGGTCCTGGAAGCTGCAATGTTCCTCTTCCTTTTAAGATGATGAAACATAGAGCATGTACAACAAAAAAGCCAGATATTACTTAAAGGTGAGGTTAGGAGTTTAATACAATTTCTCACTTCCTCCAACTAATAGAATGTTGAGGACTTTCTCCGGGGAAATCTGCTATTACTAAATACTACAACATAGCAACCACTGTATTCTCAGACAAGGCAGAAACCCATCAGTTGTAATCGAGGTTATCAGGAAAATCCATTTTGTTTGACTGCAGATCTTTGTCAATGTAACATTTTCACTTTCAGTCAAGCAAGGCAAATGGATTGACAGTAAACAACAATAATAGTGCTTTAAAATGTAACTCCATTTTTTTCTCTTGTGAAAAACACAATTTCTTGTAGGGGATCTATATACATTGCAAAGGTTTTAGCAACCTTTTTTTTTGCAGATTTCTACTATTTTCTGCTCTGATGAATTAGGTGTTTGTTTCACAATGTCCTTTCCAGAGCTATTTCTAATGGGAAGCTCTGCCTTCATTTTAACCACCTGAGGAATGTTCAGCTTTCTACTGAGGAAAGCTGCATGTATGCATCTCTTTAGAAAAGAACACCAAGAATTAAACTCTTGTATCTCAGTGCAAACTTCTGAGAAAAATCGGTGAACCAGCACATTCAGCCATATTGGATAGAGGCAACATCTAAGGCTCTGTTTACACAAGCCGACTCCAAAGTTGCATGATTTTTAGTGCAACTTTGGAGTCCAACTTTGATACAACTTTGAAGTGATTTTGATACGATGTTTATGCTCTCTGGCACTGAAGCCATATCAAAGTGAGATCAAAGTAGTGCAGGAACCTTTTCTGAAGTTGCAGTGACTTTAGTAGTGTCTTTTGGATCCTGAATAGCAGGAGTGTGAACCGAGCCTAACAGTTTCAGAAAAGTATAGCAAAGTGAAATACATAGGTATCTTTCAAACATTAAATTACAGAATAGCTTCTGTAGCAATTGTATGTTTTTATTTTAGGCAAGTGGACTTTTCCTTCAAAGCAAACCAGATGAAATCATACAATAGCAGTAGCAGAGAGCTAACATTCAAACTGGAAGCACTTATCCCTTACTAGAGGATCTCTCAATCCTTTTGCTATCCACATCGCAGTTGCCATTAGGCACACCTCTGACTTCATCGCACACATCACACTAGTGCTTTATTAAATACTCAGCAGGCCTGGTGGATGTACCTATGCTTATACAAATAAGGAAAAGTTTCTAGTTGTATAGCTGATCTGGTAAACCTGGGGTGGGAGATATATGCTTATATATATCTTCAGATGCTGGCTGCCTGCTGCTCTTAGTGTGAAATTTTGTTCTCCCTATAGCTTTGCATTTATTTCAAAAAGACAAATAATACATTCATATCTCAGGAAATCAACTGATCTTCAATATGGTTTAGCAGAATCAATGTTCAGCCTAAGGTAAAGATTCCTAATGCAAAAACACATGCTAAGTGGGTGCGTAATGGACAGAAATTTGGGTTTTATAAGGATGATATTGGGGGGTGACATTAAGCACAAGGAAAAATTAGCAGTTTAGAATTACTTGGCAACAAAAAAGCACAACAAACAACTCAGTAATGATTTAATGACAGATACACATTAATAAATATGGCACAGATACAATCGAACAATGTATGCATCCCTTTAAATTAAATTTAGATCACACTGCTTTTTAGATGGGAAGATATATTGTATATTTAATGTGTTCTTATTTCATGCATGGGCAACCTTTATTTATATTTACATTTGTAAGTGTGATTTCTAGACTAATTTAGATAAATGTTCCATGCCTATTTGTTGTATTTGTAATGGTTACTCTATGTTCTAGAGTTTCATGAAGGCATGAACTGTATTTGTAACTTTGTAACTAACGGAGTCTATGTAATCTACGGCGCTCCCTGTCCACACTTCAGTCACCTTTGACTCCATCTACTTAGATTACATGGTAATTGCATGGCTACAGTGGAGGTGAGGAAATTGCAGTCTCTTACCACTGTTGTGAGCCTCCAGCTGTGAAGCAGAGTTGACAGCGACTTTGCATAGTGAACAGTAAAGAAGTCTTTTAGCCTTTTCCTCTTCAGTCTCTCCTGAAGGGCATATGCTGCTGCTAGTTACTAGAGTGATTTTCTTGTCAACCTTTGAGGTGTTCTCCGTTGTCATAACACTGATTTTTCTTATTTCTAACATTGTACTTGCTGGTATTGCTGGGAATCCTGGGGCAATTTTTGAAAATAAACAAAACAGGCTGTTAAATGGGAAACTACCATTGTATGACATTTTTGTATACATTTACAGCATGTAATTGGTTGAATGTCAAGAAGATCATGTTGACAGTCTGTATATTTTAAAAACCTATACATTGTAACCATCTTTTAGTAGTAAGTCCTGATAGACAGAGGTAGAAATAAACTGAATTATACACATAAAGTGCATATGACGAGACACTATACTAACTTCATGTTAGGTAGGTACTGTATATACAGTACTGTGCAAAAGTTTTAGGCACTTGTGCAAAATGCTATAAAAAGGCAATGTTTTCACAAACAATGAAATTAAAAGATTTTATTTATAAAATAACAACCTAAAAGTGCATACAAACAGAAAATCTAAATTAAATCAATTTTTGTTATGTCCATCATTTATTTTAAAAACAGTATTCATTCTCTTAGGCACTATTGCACTGCAGGTAGGTTGTTCCAAACATCTAGGATAACTAATCACAGTTCTATTGTGGATTAAGGTTGTCTCAGTTGCTTCTGTCTTTTATGTAATCCCACACAAAGTCAACGATGTTGAGATACTTATTATAAATCCTCCTGCGCTTCTATGGACCCCACCCCCCTACCTTTCAGCTGCTTACACTCAAACTGATACCAAAACAGTGCACAAATAAATATTAAACTAGTGTAGCGCTAATAAACTCAATCATAAAAAGCAAATTCAATTCAATCCTTATGTGAATAGTGAAACTAAAATATATAAACCTTGTGATAAATCTCATAGTGCCCTAATCCTCTTAGTGCCCTACACACGTGCCACTTAATTCATAAATAATATTTATAAAACATATATCATGACAGTGCTATTTCAAATTTTGCTACTAAACATATATCCTGTAGCCCTCCGAGCTATATAAGATAGGGCTGCGTCTCCATAGCGATACCCTGAGGAAGTCACGAGACCACGTGACGTAACGTGTTGGCACGCTGATACGCAGCTTCCGGTTTCCAGAGTGACGCACTTCCGGTACGGGATGCCATTTTTCAAACTCCCAGGAAGTAACACATGAGTGCAGTTTACCCATTCAGGGGAGAGGAAGACGCTGTACACAAATGTGAGTTGCTTCTTTTCTTGTTGTTTTGTAAATAAAAACTTTGCTAAATTTGAATTACTACACTATGGAAGATCTCTTTTTTTGGGCTCACTATCATGTGAGTGAGAATTTGCAGAGGATCGTTGTAGAGGACCCTATAAGTCATAAAGGTGAAGGTGTGGAGGAGGCCAAATAGGAGGACAGCCTGTGAGTTACCAACCAGGATTGTTGAGGATCCAGGGTGATCCTAAAGGCTTGTAGGCCCCTGGGGGTCGCTGAAAGGAGGTGAGGAGGCACTGCAGCTGGAGTGGAAGAGTGTGTTTACACGAGTGGCACTAATGACACACTGCATGTGTATATAAGCATCACCTGAATTATATATTTTTTATTTGAACATTGGACTATGGATTAGTTTAAATTGAAGTGGCACCATCACATGGTACATGTTTTTGAAGTGGCACTATCACAGGATATATGTTTAGTAGCAACATTTGAAATAGCACTGTCATGATATATGCTTTATAAATATTATTTATGAATTAAGTGGCACGTGTGTAGGGCACTAAGAGGATTACGGCACTATGAGATTTATCACAAGGTTTATATATTTTAGCTTCACTATTCACATAAAGATTGATTTGAATTTGCTATTTATGATTGAGTTTATTAGCGCTACACTAGTTTAATATTTAATGATGTTGAGATGAGGGCTCTGTGAAGAGCCATGCCATTTCTTTCAAGACTCGTTATTCTTCCGTTTGGTAAAGATAATTCTTTATGACCTTGGCTGTATGTTTGGAGCCATTATAATGCTAGAGAATGCATATGCAGAAATACAGCCTTAGAGCTGCAAGGAATCTCCACCATGCTTCCCTGTTGCCTGTGAACTCTCATTGTTGTACCACTCTGCAGGCATTCTGAAACAAACTGCCTTCTGTTACTGCCAAATATTTCAAATGTGGACTCATCATTCCAGAGCCCCTGCTGCCTTTTCTGTGAACCAGTTCTCATGCAAAAGATAGTCAGTTGGCCTTGTTTCCATGTAAGAAGAATGACTTCTATGAAGAAAACGTACAAGGAAAAATATATGTTCTACTTGTTCCAAGCACTTACGATGACAAGTCTATGTCAGACAAGCTCATTTTCTAATAGACACCACCTCTCACAATCTAACTTAAAGGAGGGTTTTCTGGTAGGTTCATATAGTTAGCAATAGTTATTGTGTTGTTTTGGTTCCTGTCTTAAATTATTACCTCTCTGTGTATGCGCCAGTCCTTTCAGTCCTGTTTCGCTTACTTATCTGACTGGTTATGACACTAGCCTGCACTACTGTCAGGGATCCAACAGCGGTAGCCTCTAGCACTCCACAGACCAGATTCCCCCAAGGTGCGGAATCTAAGCTCTGACCTGCTTGTTCACCAGGGCCCCTGATGGTGGGGATGGACTTGGAGCAGGCCGAGACCAGGTCGCGGCCCCTGGGTTCACCCAGCTGTGGTAGAAGAACTGTTGGAGGTGTAAAGCAGGTGAGAGTCTGATGTGAGGAGGTAACAGGAGCAGCGTCGGGCAGGCCGGGTGGGTAACAGTGGTGGCGGCGTAGTACAAAATCAGCAGGCAGAGGGATAAACAGGTCACAAGCCGGGTTCGTTAACAGAAGGTCAGAACGTACAGGGTTAAGCAGGAGAATGGTCAGACAAGCCAGGGATCAGAGCAGGAGACGGACAGCAAATCAGGGTCAGGCAGGGTCGGCAACAAAACAATCTACAATCAGGAACTTCAGGAAAACAGGTAAGACCATACAACACTTGAGCATTGCAAGAGCAGGGTTTAAATAGCCCGCCCAATTCCGGACAAGCGCTCCTGGGTCCTAGTGCTTGCCCGGCGCCGTCATTGGTGACAGGCGCGCCTGGGTCCTAGTGCCCACCTGCCTGTACGTTTTGTCAGGATTCTACGCATGTGCAGATTCGATCGCCGTGGCGATCTTCCCATTCCCTGACAACTAGTCTCCATTTGCCTCTTTGAATGTACATTCACCTCTCCATGACTATCACCTACATTCCCTCCTTCGAACTGTCTGATGTTGCTGTTGTGTGAGCTATCCAGCATCTGATCCTGCATCCATATTATTATCTCTGCTTCTTTCTCAAGCTGCTGTTTTATCATCATGGAAATGCCTCTCTGCCTGCCTGCCAGCTTATAGTAAGTGCTGATCTGCATTTATTCCATACTGGTCATACTGACTGTACAGTAATATTTAAAGTGGTTAATAGTGATGTTACACCACTTGCAGACATCTCTGTAATCATAATACTAATAATAATACTCCTTCACGCCTTGACTACTGCAACTCCCTCCTCACCGGCCTACCCCAGTGCAAACTCACCCCGCTTCAGACCATCCTGAACTCAGCTGCCAGACTCATCCACCTCACCACCCGCTCCACCTCTGCCACCCCCTCTGCCTCTCCCTCCACTGGCTCCCCATTGCCCAACGCATTAAATTCAAACTGCTCACTCTGACCTATAAAGCCATTCACAACACTGCCCCTAACTACCTCACCGACCTGATTCCCAGATACCACCCTACCCGTACCCTTCGCTCTTCACAGGACCTCCTTCTATCTTGCTCCCTGGTCTCCTCCTCCCACGCACGACTGCAAGACTTCTCCAGGTCCTCCCCCATCCTCTGGAACTCACTACCCCAACCCATCAGACTGTCACCTTCCCTCCTCACCTTCAGGCACTCCCTGAAAACCCACCTCTTCAGGGAAGCCTACCCCACCCTCACCTAACAGCCGCTGCCCTTCCCTCCTCCTTCCACTCCATCCCCCACAGCCATTTCCTCCTGTACCTCTACCCCCTCCCTCCTAGATTGTAAGCTCGAAAGAGTAGGGCCCTCTTACCCCTTGTGTGCTGTTTGATGTTACTGTACTGTTTCATGTATTGTCCCCCCTCTATTGTACAGCGCTGAGCAAACCCTTTGGCGCTATATAAACTCGATAAATAAATAAATAAATAAATAAATACTGAAAGAAAAAGAATACTGATGTTCATATGAACATATATACAAGCTCTCACAATTCAATAGAATTAACTGGCAGTACTATTAATTGGGTGTCTTCATAGCACATATGATATATGCCGGTGTACTCAACCTCAAAGGCCCCATACCCCTGTGGTGTAAGAATGTGGTTAGTGTTATCTTACAATCTGAAAATGTATGCAGCTATACTGTTATTTGGTAGTGGGAAAACATGCACTGTTGGTGGAAATAAAGTACTTGAGTTCTTCACCACTGCTACTGTATATCGGCATTCTCCAACTTGCTCTTTGACATAATAGTGACAGTATTGCTGTTCATAATATTGCACTCAGTATTTTGTGTGTACAGGAGGCAGCAGGGTGTGGATGGAGATTATTTTAAATAAATATTTCCTAAAATAAACTTTCCAGGCAAGTCTTCATTGAACAGATGAGTACTAACTTCTGTAACTTCTGTAGCTGTGTAGAACATGTGCCAAAATGATGCATTCCAACCACTTTACAGGAATAACTGCTAGTTTGCAGTACAGAATGTTTATGTTTTGGCTTAAGAGGAACACAGATTTGTAATTACAAGAAGAGTTGATTTGACTAGTTGTTTGTGCTATAGGCATTTTAATTAGAGTCCAGTGATCGGCATTAATTACCGTTAATATACTTATACTTCGGACAAAGCTTTTAAGCACTTCATTTAACACTTATACTCAATTGGATCTTTAATGTAATATAAACATAAGCCAGGGAACACTTTATTTTTAAGAATTAATGATGTTACTTGTTTGTGTCTTGTGTTATAAATTGCTCTACTATTAACTCTACACTCTACATCACAAATA